GGATGGATGGATGGATGGATGGATGGATGAATGGATGGATGGATGGATGAATGGATGGATGGATGAGGAGGAGGATGGAGGAGGAGGATGGATGGAGGAAGAGTCCTCACCCTTTCCTCCTCCCTTCTCCCCCTCTGCAACTCCTGCACCTCCGTGGGGTGGCAAGAACAGCACCGACACAGCTACTTCCTGAACCAGTCCCGGGCTTTGTTCTGACAAGGAGTTCGAAGCGAATCCAGCCGTGACGAGTAGGGATCTCGAGGGCGAGCAGCGGCATCGCTAAAGTTTCATCCCATGATCCTCCTTGTCTTCCTTGCGAAGAACAAGAGACGACACAAGCATACACTCTCGGAACTCCGCGAAGAGCCCCCCCCTCCATTGTGCGCGGAGCGCGCCGGAGGCGGCGCTGGAGGCGCGGCCAGGGGGCCCAAACGCAGATCCAAGAAATCCGCACGGAGCTCCGAAACTCTATGCTTCTGTCGCTGCGTCCTCCTCCATCCGCCTCCTGACTCAGCCCCAGGGCAGGCGGCGCCTTCGCTTGCAGGTCGGAGAGCATCTCGATCCGCCGTGCCCCGCGCACGGGGGGGCAGGGACAGGGCAGGACAGGCCACCGCTGCGGACAAGTGCCCGGGCCTACCTCGGGCCAGGTGGGAGAGGCCGTGGCCCTGCGCACCGGGTCCGGTCAGCTCGTACGGTAAGGACGCGCGATCTGGATACAAATGCCTTGGGATAATGGCTATGCCGACACTTTGCGAGCGGGGCGCGGCCAGCGAACGTGGCCGAGGATGGGCCGAAGGGGAGGGACGCAAGGGGAAGCTTGGAAAGTTGCTCATCCTTACTATGCGGGTTGACTGCACCTCAAGCCTGGTGGGTGAGGCCGTGGCCTCAAGCAACGGGTAGAAAGCCTGGTGACAACAGCACTGCAGGAAAAAGTCCGGTCAGCTCACCCTGTAGGGGAGAAGCAGGGAAACGAAACATGACATGAACATAAAAACTCGGAGGTCCGCGCGGATCTCTGGGATCCGCGCTGGAGCCCCCTCCCTGGCACGCGGAGCGCGCCAGCGGCGGCGCTGGGGGCGCCGCCAGGGGGCCCCAGCGCCGATCCGAGATATCCGCGCGGACCTCCGAGTCATCATGTTTATGCCATTGCGCCTTCCCCTAAGAGGAGCAGAGGAGGAGGAAGTGCTCTCGGGCTCTGGGCGTCGACGTCGGCGCTCAATGCTCTGGGCTGTGCGGGGTCGTCGCTCGCGGGGGGGGCAGGGGTCCCGCGGCGGGCCCACGGGGGCGCCGCCTGCTTCCTGCCGGAGGGGCGGCCCGTCCTCCGCAGGGGCGGCGGGGCCGCCGCCTCTTGGGGCCACCTTGGGGCAATCCCTACAGGGCAGCTTTTAATACATAAGATTTATAGGATCTAGAATACATGATTAATGTATGGATAAATGTATGCATGAACTCATCGTTGTTTTTAATACTAAATCCCTGCATTTGTAATACATGATCCGCACGCGGAACATGGTTTTTAAAAAACGGCACTGTACGATGGAGGCCAGTCCACAAGAAACCTTCCACAAGAAACCTAACCCTGAAACCCCAGGACGCCCATCGATGTTTGGTGTGGGAACGTCACGCTTTCCATCGCAACACCCTCGAAACCCAGGGCACCCTGGAGCCAAGCAGGGTGTTTCGTGGCATGGGCCTCCACTGTGAGGCACTCGCTCCGCCCTAATCCTTGGTTGACGTTGCGCAGACGCAGGATCAGCACCTGGAAGAGCTTGGATGCAACAAACAAAAACGCTGTCTTAGGCGGAGTGGAAGGCAAACTACACTTGGCGGACGCAGCAACAACAAGTCAGGCAGTGAGATCAAGCAAAGAAAGAGGGCCGTCAGGGGCACAGAGCATGCGCCAGCCAGGCGGTGTGAGAGGAGGACGGGTCGATCGAGTCAAACCTGAGCAACCTCAACGAAGGGAGGCACCGAACGAGAGAGAAGCGACATACGCGGCGGATCCAAGAGATCCGCGAGGAGCGCCAAACGTTTGTGTGTATGCAATTGTTTCCTTTTCGTGGCCCCTGAGACCGAACACTGCAAAAAACTTCCGTCCTGCATGTTCTAATGTGCTGGAGGTCTGGACGCATGGAGCCTGGGCCAGGGGCCAGAATCAGACGGCACGCATCGGCATGTGCGCTGGATCGGGCCGCATCGGCACGGAGTCGAGATCGCATTGGATCGGCTGCGTCAGGACGCACAACGACGCCCCGCAAACATCGGACCGCATGGGATCGTCGGAGTACATCGGAGTCGCATCGGATCGATCGGATCGAAATGTGCCTTGCCATCGCTCGGACGTCCATTCCACGTGTATTTTTCGATTTCGTGCGTGCTTTCTTCGCTAAGTCATCCAGGATGCTCCTCCATGGTCCTCGCCGAGGAAGACATGCACACGTCCGAGCGATGCCAAGGCCCTGATGGGGGTGGGTGGGGCGGCGGCATGGCGGACAGCACGCCGCATGACCTTCGCGACGGGGCTGACTGCTGCCACCTGCGAAGGTCACGGCCGTCCGCCCGATCCTTCCCCCCGCTGCTCTGGCCACCCACTGCTCCTAACCCCCCTGGGCAGCCTCCCTCTACCCCCTTCCCTCGTCAGCCCCCCCGCGCCATGGGGATGGGCTCGGAGCGAGACCGCCTCGCTATCGTTCTCCGGGAGCTCAGGGGGAAGAAATGGCTGTGTACGTCGAGAAGGGTTGCACTCGTAGTCAGTCAGGTGTGCGGAGCATACTGGACCAGAACTCGGGCTCTTGAGTCGGGGTATAGAGAAGATACTATCTTCACCGCTTGTGGTTCTGTAAGGCCGTCAACAACTTGCGCGATGGGATCGTGGACGCTGATCTGATCGCCCGAGCAGCTACCATCACACTCGACGGCCCCGACTGGAATATATTCACCAAAGGCATTCTCCAACACCCAGGAGCATTTGTACCAAGGCCCGTTGCTGGGGGAGGCTTGGAGGTGCGGTGGACCGAGGACCCTACTAATACGGAGGTCAACTTCGAATGGCTGGTCTTTTTTTCGATGGTTCAGGCCTCAAAAGCTCCATAGTGGCATAGTGGAGGTGTCTAGAGCTGGTGGGGAGCGGCTGAGTCCAACAAGGAGCGTCAGCTGTTGTGCACGGGCTTCGGGTCCAGTCCCAAGCTTCCCCGCTCAAACCTCCCAGGCTGGCGAGTTTGGTGGGCTAGGCGTCACCAACGAGCTCCTATGTGGTCCGTCTAAAGGTTTTTCGGATTGCGCCAACGTCGTGCTCGCGTTTGACACCCCAATGCCCATGCAGGTCTCCTATGAAAAGCTTCACGCTGGAGTCCATCTGAATAAAACCAGCAGTATATACAATACTAGAACCACGCGCGCGCTTCGCGCGCGCTCAGGTTCTAGCCGCGGCCACGGAACAGCTCGGAAGACGGTATGAGCAGGCACAGGTCCAAGTATGTGGCGTTAGCCCAGAAATCCGACCTCCTCCCCGTCCCCCGCCTCCCCCTCCGCCTCCTCCTGCCTCTCCGCCCCCTCCTGCCCCTTCCCTCTTCCCCTGTTTCCCGCGAGACCAGTACATGGGGAAAAAGAACCAGCATGGCCGATCGGTTTGTCGTGCACCTGTGACATGCATCTTGGGAGCCCTTCGGGGGCTTCTGGCGGCGTCTTGGGGGCCTCCGGGGCATTTCTTGGAGTCTCCCAGGGGCTTTCTTAGAGCCGTCTTGGGGCTATTTTGGACCGTCTTGGAGGCCTCTTGGGCTCCTTGGGTCCTTCTCGGGCTGTCTTGGGGCCGTCTTGGGAGCCTCTTGGGCCGTCTTTGGGCGATCTCGGGAGCCTCTTCGGCTATCTTGGAGCGTCGGGAAGCCGAAAAGGTGAGAACCACAGCAAATCCTCAAACACCCTCGAAACATAACCATTTCTTACCTCTTGCGGCCCTCTTGAAAAAGCCTCTCGGAGGCCTCTTGAGGCGTCTTGGAAGCCTCTTGGGCCGTCTAGGGACTATCTTGAGCGTCTTGCACCGACCTTGCGGCGTCTCGGTGTCACAGGGCTCGGGGGGCTCGGAGAGTAAAGGAGTAAGTGGGGAGGGCGAACGTACATTTCTGTGCTCAGTCTGGAAACCTCAGCGACTCCAAGGTGAGTCGCTCCCTAAGCCTAAAAGGCTGTGCACAACTGCAGAACGCAAGGAGAGGGGGAGAGGGGGGGAGAACAAGAACCCGGGACCAGGGCGAGCCGGGTTACGATGACAGTGCACCCAACTTTGGTGGGTTCTGCAGGGGAAGACCCCCCGCCGGACCCACCCTGGCCTTGTAGGACAGGTGCATGGGCTCGCCGGCACGAGCGGGAATCTGGCGGGCGACGCGTCCCGCCTCGGGCTCCTCGCGGCCTCCGCTCCTCCGGCTCCTCTCTGCCTCCTGTGGTACCTCCTCCTCTTCATCAACCTCCTCGGCCTCCGCCTCTTCCTTCTTCCTAGAGCCGTGCTCCTCCTCGCTTCCACGGGGCCTATCCTCCTCAACCTCGTCCCTCCTCCTTGCTTCTTCGATCAAAGCTCTCCGGCTAGCCCCTCGAGATCGGGACTTAAGAGACATATTCAACGCTCGCTCGTCGAGGTGTCCCCCTTCGTCGACGAGACACATCGATCCTCGACACAGTAAATCGTGCAGGGCCAGATTGCTTTTTGACGGATCGGCGTGGGTCAATGGATCGGCAGGCATGCGCCCGTGGGGGAGCCAACGGATCTGCGAACCAGTCGAGCTCAAAGAATCTCTGACAACAGCAAGCTCGATCGCATTGCGTCGATCGGACCGGGACCCAGCAGCATTCTTACTCAACGTGTCAAACACCGATTTGGCATCCACCACGGCCAGGGACGCAGCTCGATCACTCAACTCGCAAGTCGAGGACATCACAACCGAGAACGGGGAGGCCCCAAGATTCCAAGACGGCTTCTGAACATCTCCGAAGACCGCATCACGCCAAAGAACCTGCAAATACTGGGCCTCAGCCACAGCACCGCTCAAAGCGAGAGTCTCTGCAGCGACGGTGGAGCTGATCACCCGCTTCAGTCGCTGCGAGCGCCACGAGAGCAGTGACGCGCGAGCTCTGCGGTTCGCCCGGATCGAGGCGTCCGCCGCCATTACCAGCCAAGCACCCTGAGATCCGCCGCGGCTCGCGGAGCCCGGTCCGGAGGCGTCGGACGCCGCGACGAACACAAGCGAAAGCGGGTCGAGCCCCCACACGGTCAGCCTCTGAGAGGCCGCGGCCTTCAAAAACTTGCAAACCTTGATGAGCGTGAGAGCGTGGGAAACGAGAGGGGTCGGCATGGCCCCCGCGAGAATCGAGGACGCGACTCCCTGGCCACCCACTGTACCTGGGCCACCACTGCTCGATACGACTTGACCTCAGTAGGCGTGAGGGGGGAATCAGGGTCACAGCGACGAGAGCGATCGAGAGGCATAACCGTAAGCTGCTCCCGTATATACTTTTCCTGATCAATGGTTATCCGATCCCTAAACTGGCGCAGGTGTCGACCGGCAAACTCCGAATCAGACTGGCACCACTTGCCAAACCGAAACCTGGACGTCGCTCTCTCCTTGAACCGATCCAAATACTCCTGGCGGCCGGTCACAATGAGGTCGTCGACCTCAATAAGCACCAGGCCCTCAAGGGCCCCCATTCGGTCCCGTTTAAGCCAGAGGCACGGTTCAAGCATGGACTTAGTGAAACCCTCCCCCGCGAGCCAATCAGTCAGCGTCCGATGCCACAAAAGTGGAGCATCGTTAAGACCATATACGGGCGCAACCAACTCGATCAACTGATCTGGGCCAATCGGCAGACCCGAGCACGGTTCAACAAAAATCTTTCCTCGGGGGCGCTCTAAACGCTGGCTCTGGCAAAAAGCATTCTTCGCGTCAGCTATGGTAAGGGTCCATCCGAATGACGCGGCAATCTGCAAACAGGTAAGAACGCTCTCGGACTGAGGTGTCGGGGCATAGACCTCCAAAGTTTCCGAGTCGGGATCCTGGTGCCCGTGGACGCACCAACGGGATTTGGGCTCGGGGCGAGAACCTACCCCCTCAACCGGTTTCAGCCGTCTAACCATGCGAGAGGATAAGATGCGATCGGGAAACCGCTTCCGAGCTGACACCGACTCCTCAGGCGAAAGCACACGTACAGCTCCAGTGCCCAGCATCGCGGCCCATTCCTTAGCGTCTGACTCCGAAAATCGGGCGCGATGCTCCGGGGACAAGTCTTTGAGTCTCACCTCGGCCCCCCGGGGATTGATCTTGGGCGGGGTCTTGTCAGACGCCGAGGTCGGGTACGACAGCTCGTCGAAGGGACCTAAGTCTCTCAAAAAGAAGCTAGCCAGATCGGGGGCTCCCCGCACCGCGGACCACTTGAGGAGCTCTTGGACCAGAAAGCTATCCTGTTCCTCGTCGGGAGCGTCCCAGTCACAATCACCTCCACTGGCCTCCGGGTCCTTTCCGCCGGCACCCTTACTTTCGCCGGCCTCCTCCGCCTTCTCGCCGAACTCCGCCAGGAAATCACCGGCACTAGGGCGGGGCCCCGGGGGCCTGCTCCTGCCCGAGGACCGCGCAGCGGGGGCCTCCGGGGACGCGCGAGCGTCCGACGACGGTCGAGCCCGGGGACAGAGATGTCCCGCCCAGACCCCAAAACTCGTGCCAAAGGCGGCCACTCCCTCGCCATGGGAACGTCCAGCGCCGGGGCCTCCGGCGCCGGGCGAGGAAGCGGCTCGACGCTCTCAGGGACAGGATTGCTAGCGGCCCCCTTCGCTGAGGGGGAAAAAGCCGACCCAGGAGAGCCAGCGACAGGTTGACTTGGCGGGCCTTGGATGGCCGCCACTCGCTGCAGAACGGAGGGTCCGTCTGGGTACTCCTCAATCGGGGTAAGACGCGGAGGCTCAGGGCCGGGGGAAAGCCTGACCTCGCTCCGGGTCTCCGGGAGGGCATCCGATCCAGGTTCCGAGGCGACCGATCCGACAGCGGGGACGAGGGAGTCCGCGGGGGCCGAGGGCACCCTGGTGCCCTGGGAAACCTGGCGAGAGGGACCCTGGGAAATCGGCAGGTTCGGGATCACCGGGACTTGCTGCCTCGCCGAGGGGTCCTCCGGGGGCGCCGCTTCGGGGGCATCGTTGGCCTCGGGAGGTGGGGGTCCTTCGGCGGTGACATCCGCCGCGCCAGACCTCTTGCCGGGGGACCGGATGTCCTCGCGAAGGCGGTCGAAAGCAGCACTATCCAACAATTCGGCCCCCATCGACTCAGACCGAGTCGCCAGGCGCACCTGCTCGGCAGTGCACTTCAACAGCTTGGCCCTCATAGCCACCCACACGGTCCCGCCACCCTTGCTTCCACCGGCTCCCGCGGACTGGTAGATGACGACCCCAGGACCAGTCCACCTGTCACGCTGGAGAGAGTGAGATCGATTGGAGGCGGTGATCCTCCGAAACACGTAAACCCAATCCCCCGGCCTGAATTCTCGCTCCTGATGAGGGCGAGCACGAGACGCCTCAGCAAGCCTAGATCGCGCATCCAGACCGGCGAGCGCCTTCCGGGCCTCCTCACGGATCCGATGCTGCCGTGCAAACTCGCCGGCGGCCGAATCAAGGTCCACAACACGGGCCGAAACGTCATCCGAGCCGATCAAGTCGACTGGGTCGTCCGACAGCAAACTCCGAGGGATCCGAGGGTTTTGTCCGAAAACAAGCTGGGACGGGCTGAAACCGCCACGGTGAAAACCCCGATTTGGGCTGGCAACCACTTCGCACAGAAGGAGATCCGTCTCCTCCCGGGTCTTGGGATTGATCGACTGGGCTGCCTTCGACAGAGCTTCCTTCACTAAGCCGCCGTGACGCTCACATTTGCCATTCTGATGCGGAGAGTTGGCCGGAATGACGTGCTGCATCACTCCATGATGTTCGCACCCTCTCGCAAAAATCCCCTCAAACTCCCCTCCCCCATCACACATGAGGACCTCCGGGACCCCGAACGGCCTCACCCACCATCTAAGGAACGCGGCCCAAACCGACTTGGCCGTGTCGTCAGACAAAAGAGCGCACTGCTGGAACGAGGTTCCATGATCAATGATGTTCATGACGGGGGTGCTCTTTCCTTCGATGTCAAGATAGAACAGGTCTATCGCGACAACCTTATTGAAAGCGTAAGTGTGGGGCAGGTGCGCTCTCCTGCGCCAGCTGGCCTTGGTGTGCGAAGCGCACTGATCGCACTTAAACTCATCCTTCACCCAGGCCAACACCTCCAAGCGGGCTCCTGCCACACGCAGGGCGCGAAGGAAATCTTCATTCGAGGGGTGTCCGAGATTCACATGCAGGCGGGCCACCTCCTTCTGAAGAGCCAGATCCAGAGAGGTCGCCTTCGCGGGACCCTGGGACCGGGGAAGGCCCTCGGCGGGGCCCGAGCGGCCCCCGGAGGCCTCGTCTCCATCGGAGATCGCGGGATCGGCTTCTTCGACCGGAAACGACCACGACTCAGCCTCAGAGGCCTCGTCTTGCTCAAACAGGGTAGCGGGACCCGCCTGTCGGACCTGGGAGCGCCGACGGTGAAACGCCAGAGCTCCGTCCTCCACGCCAGAGGCTAAACTACTGATCAGCTCCCTCGGGAAGTTCTCCGCGGCGTGCGTCCTGGCGCCGCCGGAAAGGGGAACATGGACATGCTGGTGACTGCAGCGTCGCAGGCAGTGAGCAAGGAGGGGAGAGGAGTTGGACATCACCCTGGTGGGTTTCTTGGCCGGTCCGAGCTCGCCAGTCCACAGCCCATACATGCACTGATCCAGCTTCGAGACCTGGACCTCCGGCCTCTGGCACAGCACTCGCACGCACTCGAGATGCCAGGAGCTGGCCGTGTCGGGATGTTCCAAGGCAAAGAACCGACCACAGGCGAGCTGATACTCTGCAACTCTCATGCACAACTGCATTGCGGCAAGTCCGAGCCGCTCCTCCTCCTTCTCTCGAAATGGATCCATCCGCCCCCAGTTGGAGACTCGGGGCGCGCTGAATGCCTTACACATCGGAGTCATGAGGACGAAGAGTGGCTGATCCTCGCGAAGCTGGCGCCACAGACGCGCCTCCCCCTCGGGAGAAAGAAGATCAGTGCCCAAGACTAGATCCAGAGGCGCCGACACGCTATGCCCACGGCGCTGCAACTCCGCTGAAACCTTAGACTGGCTGAATATCTCTAAAGCTAAGGCCCCTCCCCGCTGAGCCTCCCGCGCCTTCACCATCTTCCTGCGGGCCCTTCGGCCCGACCTGAGCCCCTCACCTCCTAAGGCGCGGGCCGCTGCCTCGCGTACTTGCCGGGGGGCCGACGGGGCCGCGGGAGCGACAGCTAAGCGACCGTCTAAGGCTGCCGCTGTGAACCGGTCCTCCTCTATCATGGTCACCTCCTCCACCTCCCTCGATCTTCTCGCCTCTTCCTCTCCTCCTCCAGGTAAGGTCCTTTTCGCGCCAAAAAGTCACCCGAAGCACAGACTTCAAAGTCGAGCCGAGTGCCCGGCATATCTCGGAGGCCCCTGAAGTGGCCCACAAACCAGTGTAAAGCACGAAATCTCCGGGACCCGTGATCTCAAGCCATCTTGGGCCAGAGGGAAGAGACGAGTCCAGAGGCTCCTCACCGTTGGCAGCGAGCGCAAGGCCCGCGAAAAAGGCACTGCGCTCGGAAACCGAGAGACGGACGGGGGTCCACTGCTGGCTCTCGCAAACCCTCCGAGGACTGAGAAGAGCGCCCGAGCTTTCTCCCCAAAATCCGAGGACCTCCCTGGACGATCGACGATACCGAGAGCCCCTTCGGAATCGATTCAAATAAGTTCCCAGATCCTTGAGGAAGACGTCGCGGGGATCGCGACAGGAGAAGGTCCTACCAGCCAGCTCGGCCTGCCTCTCAGAAGAGACGTCGCTTAGACGTCGGATGCGCTCGCCTCCTCGGCCACCGCGGGCAAGAAGCCGCCCGGAGACCTGCCCGAGGATATTGCCTGCATCATCGTCGCGATGCGAAGGGGGTCGTCGTTCTGGATCGTCGCAGGACGGGTCGCCAGCTCGGTCATCGTCGTCTCGGCCCAGGCCCTCTGGTCGGCGATCATGTTGCGAAGGTTCACGAACGTCAGCTCGTTGTCGCGGCGCTGCGACTCCAGCACGGTCGTCATGTCGAAGAGCGCTCTCTGCATCTCCTGCACCGTCATCGGGCGGGTGCTCGACGATCCCGACGTGGGCCCCGAGGTCTTCGGCATCGCGCCAAGCTCCCGAGACACC